CTGGAGGTCATTATGCTGAGTGAATTTAGTCAGTCACAGAAGGACAAATATTGTATAAGACCACTATTATAAGAACTCAATGAAAGGTTTAAGAAGAAAACATTCTTTGACGGTTAGAAGTGTGGGGAGGGAGGGTGAGGGTTATTTACAACTAGTTAGTAGATAAGAATTATCTTAGGTGAAGGGAAGGACAGCACACACTACAGTGGAAGTCAGCACAACTGGACTAAACCAAAGCTGAGAAGTTTCCTGAATACTATCAAACACTTTGAGTGACAGAGTAGTAGGGGTAAGGGCCTGGGGACGATGCTTTCAAGGGACATTTAGGTCAACTGGCATAACAAAGCTTATTAAGAAAATGTTTTGCATCCTACTTTGGTGAGTGGCGTCTGGGGTCTTAAAAGCTGCAGGCGGCCATCTAAGATATATCAATTGGTCCCAACCGCCTGGAGTAAAGGAGAATGAAGAACACCAAAGACACAAAGAAAGTATGAGCCCAAGAGACAGAAAGGGCCCCATAAACCAGAGACTGCATCAGCCTGAGACCAAAACAACTAGATGGTGCCTGGCTACCACCAATGACCGCCCCGACAGGGAACACAACAGAGAGTCCCTGATGGAGCAGGAGAATGGTGGGGTGCAGAACTCAAATTCTAGTAAGAAGACCAGACTTAATGGTCTGAATGAGACTGGAGGAACCCTGGAAGGCATGGCTCCCGGATTCTCTATCAGCCCAGAACTAAAACAATTTCCAAGGCCAACTCTTCAGACAGGGATTGGACTGGACTGTGGGACATAATGTGATACTCAAGAGGAGGGCGTCTCTTAGCTCAAGTGGATACAAGAGAGTAAACTGGCAGCTTCTGTCCGGAGGTGAGATGGGAAGGCAGAGACGGTTAGGAGCTGGTTGAATGGACATGGGGAATCAGGGGTGGAAAGGAAAAGTGTGCTGTCACAGTATTGGGAGGGCAATTAGGGTCACATAACAATGTATGTAGAAATTTTTGTATGGGAGACTAACTTGAAATGCAAGCTTCATTTAAACTACAACAATAAACAACAACGACAACAAAAAGAACCAAACGTTGCCTGGTACTGCACCATCCTCATTTTTCAGCACTATATTGGACAGTACAGGTCATCCCTGACTTACAACGTATTCGACTTGCAATGAACCACACTTACAACCATGCTTTTTTTTTTTTTGTACCTTATCTTTAGTAATATGCACGACAATGTTGCAATGTGTAATTTGCTGATGTTACCATTCTCAGATGTTCACTTGAAGATGTTCAGTTTTATGATTTACTGTTCAAAACACTACCATATAGATTTAATTTTCTAGACTACATCAGGGGCTTCAGTTGCTTGAAAACATGGGCCCAAACGCTGATCACTTTGCTAAAATTGATAGGCAGATTCAGGAAGCAGTGAGATGTTACCTTGAAATACATGAAGAAAAAAAGACAAGGATCACAGAGACAACTCTCATTAATTTTCTGACTAGAAATGCCATCCCCATTCCCAGGGTTAATCAGATGATCCAGAATCTTCCACAAGTGGAGTTATTACTGCAACTGACAAAATACCAATGTCATCCAACTCTTCTTCATTGTCAGAGTAAATTTTTATGATTTATGTATTTTTTATGAAGGTATGTATGTATTAAAATATATCTGTAAGTTTATGTGCCATGTTTCCAACCCCCAAAGACAAATAAATATCAGATTTATAAAGATACTGATAATAAAAGGCAATAACAATGAAAACTAAAAAAAAAAAATTGAGATATTTGACTTAAGTGAGAACCAACTTATGACAGAGAAGTTGGGGACTACCTGTATTCTGTTGTAACTAATTTTCAAAAGTAGACTGTCAGGCCTTTCTTCCTAGTCTCTTAGTCTGAAAGCTCTGCTGGAACCTATAAACCATGTGTGACCCTGCTGGTATTTGAAATACTGGTGGCATAGCTTCCAGCATCATAGCAACACACAAGGTACCACAGTACAACAAACTGACAGACAGGTGATGAATGATTCAGTTAGGTGGGCCAAAATACCCAGTACCCCTCCCACCTCTTCCTACTCTTCAGTAGAAAAAGAACTTGGTGATAACAATGAAGTATCACTGTATTCATAAATTCAGGGGTGAGTTGTGTATAAATCTGCTTGAGAAATGTAGTTATGGATGATCACTATTTGAAACACAGGAAACCCTGGTGGTGTAGTGGTAAGACCTATGGCTGCTAACCAAAAGGTCGGCAGTTTGAATCCACCAGGTGCTCCTTGGAAACCCTATGGGGGCAGTTCTACTCCTGGCCTGGCAGAGACTGGAGAAACCCTGAGAGTATGGACCCCGGACACCCTTTTAGCTCAGTAATGAAGTCACTCCCGAGGTTCACTGTTCAGGCAAAGATTAGACAGCCCCATAAAACAAAACGAGATTAATGGGGCACAACAGCTCGGGGACAAGGACTAGAAGGCAGGAGAGGACAGGAAGGCTGGTAATAGGGAACCCAAAGTTGAGAAGGGACAGTGTTGACATGTCGTGGGGTTGTTTATGGTCATAAAACAATATGCGTGCTACTGTTTAATGAGAAACTATTTGTTCTGTAAACCTTCATCTAAATTACAATAAAATAAATAAATAATAATAAAAGCGTTTCAATCTCCCTACTTGAAACACAATGCATAAGTGTCTCACCGTCAGTTAATTGGAGGCCCCAAAATATCACTGGTCCAAGTATGCATCTCTACATGTCAACCTACAGCAACCAATCTGACAACGATGCAGCTATGCAAACAGCAATTTATAATTGAAAGGGAAGAACAACAGCAGATGAAAAAAATCCACCAGTTGCACTGATCAGAAAAAACACCTTTCCTGAAGATATTAGGAGTTCCAATGGGAAATCTGCAATACTTCCTTGCAGTCAGACACTGATAAAATACCCCAGACCCAAAGTATGGTCTCTAAATATCATTTTCCACTAAGAGAGCTCCTTGGAGAAACAGTTGATTCCAGGCCTGGGTCAGGAAATATACAAGATGAACTGGATCATCTTGTTATACTGGAAAGCAAGGAAGCAATTGAAGACTGCTAGGATCATGTTAAAAGGATTCAGAAGCCAACTTGAAGAGCCACTCTTTGACCAAAGATGTGATAATTTAAGCATAGAGAATAACAGTTTTAATTGGTTAAAACACATCAAATATTTTAAAATTCATTTTAAATTTAAATAATACTAGAGAAATAACCCTCACTGTCACCTTTGGAGGATACTAGGAAATAATTCATTACTTTGAAAACTGGTATCTTTCATCTATGAGCTATACGTCAAGGTAACCAAATAGGCTATAAAGGTAACTTCCCTTTATAGAAGAATTCCAGCTAAGAACGAATAAGGAATGATAGAATTACAACGTCATCATTTTCCATAAATAAATAGAAGTATATTTATTCAATGGAATAGTACATTACAATGAAAAAGAATGGTCTTGTGCTATATATATTTTCAAAATTAAATTTATGGTTAAACACCTTCCCAAAAGAAATCTCCAGGTCAAGATGTTTCAATAAATTCTACCAAACACTTAAAGAAGAAATAACATCAATTTTACTCAATTTCTTCCATGAAATAGAAGAGGGAGCACTTCCCAACTCATTTGTCTGATACCAAAATCAGACGAAAACAGCATTAAAAAAAAGAAAGCTACAAAAATCAATACCCCTCATGAACATAGACACAAAAATCCTCAACAAAATATTTCCAAACTAAATGCAGCAAGATATAAAGAGAAACATACACAACAACCAAGTGTCAGGAATGCAAGACTGCTTCGATAGTTGAAAATCAGTGTGATCCACCATGTTAACAGTCTAAAGAAAATCAACATGATAATATCAATAGATGGAGAAAAAGCATTTTACAGAATTCAACATCTACATATTAAAAAATTCTCAGCGAACTTCCTAACCTGATAAATGGCACCTACAAAAAGCCTACAGCAAACATCATACTTACTGGTGAAAACTGAATGCATTCCCCCTAAGATCGGGCCAAGACAAGGATGACCACTCTCGATACTCCTACTTAATATCATAATGGAAGTCCTAGGCAGTACAATAAGGCATGAAAATGAAATGAGGTATTCATATTAGAAAGGAAGAAATAAAATTTCCCTTTCACAAAATGACCTGATTTCCACATAGAAAATTCTGAAGAATTGATAAACAATCCTAGAAGTAATAAACAAGTTTGCAAGGTTGAGCGATACAAGTTCAATATGCAAAACTCAACTGTATTTTCTACATACAAGCAATTAATAGTCGGAAATAAAAAATTAAAATAATTGCAAACCACCTATCAGGCATATACAAACTGATTCTAAAATTTATATGCAAAGGTAAAAAGAAAGTTGGAGGAATCATACTACATAATTTTAAGATTTACTCTAAAGCTACGGTAATCAAAACAGTGGGTTATTGGTGAAGGGACAGACACAGAGATCAGTGGAACAAAACAGAGAGTCCAGAAGTAGATCCACACAAATATGGCCAAGTGATTTCTGACAAAGGCGATTCAATGGAGAAAGGATGGTCTTTTCAACAATGGCTTTCAAATAATTGGATTTCCATATGCAAAAAAAAGTGAACCTCAACCTAAGGCTCCTACCTTATACAAAATTAATTTAAAATGGACCACAGATTTAAATGTGAAACCATAAAACCTTTAATAGAAAACATAGGACAAATATGCAGAACCTAGTTCTTAGACATGACACTACAAGCACGAACCATAAACGAAAAATTGATAAAATGGACTTTATCAAGAATTTAACTTTTTCTCTGCAAAGGACCCTGTTAAGAAAAGACAAACTACAGAATTCAGTTGTGTTCGCCGCCGCTGCCATGCCGCCGTCGCTCAGTAACGCCAGCACCACCTCTAGCTCCCCAAGCTCCAGAGGAAGAAGTAGGGTAAGTGAGGAGGTCTCTATACCATGGCTGTCTTCAAATCAACCGGTGGTAAAGCACCCAGGAAGCAACCGGCTACAAAAGCCACTCGCAACACTGCGCCCTCTACTGGAAGGTACTGGTACTGTTACAGGCCCGGTACTGTGGCACTCTGGGAAATCAAACATTACCAGAAGACCACTGAACTTCTGCTACACAAACTTCCCTTCCAACGTCTGGTGCGAGAAATTGCTCAGGACTTCAAAACAGATCTGTGTTTCCACAGCACAGCTATTGGTGCTTTGCAGGTGGCAGGTGAGGCCCGTCTAGTCGGCCTTTTTGAAGACACCAACCTGTGTGCTCTCCATGCCAAACGTGTAACAGTTATGCCAAAAGACATCCAGCTAGCACGCCGCATACATGGAGAACATGCTTAAGAATCCACTACGATGGAAAACATTTTATTCTTTAAAAAAAAACAAAAAAAAACTCTTCTTCCTGTTATTTGTAGTACTGAACGTTAGATATTTTTCCCCCGTGGGGTCAAAAGGTACCTAAGTATATGACTGCAAATGGAAAAATAGGGGACAGAAATCAGGTACTGGCAGTTTTTCCATTTTCATTTGTGTATGAATTTTTAATATAATTGTGGGGACATAAAGCATTAATGCAAATCAAAATGTTTCAGTGAACAAGTTTCAGTAGTTCAACTTTATAACAATTATAAATAAACCTGTTAAGTTTTACTGGACAATGTCAGCATTTGGATTTTTTTAAAACAAGTAAATTTATTATTGACAGCAACCGAATGGTGTTTGTAGCTTTTTTATCATACAGTAGATTCCATCCATTCACTCTGCTTTTCTAACTGAGTTGTCCTACATGCAAGTATGTTTTTAATGTTGTCTGTCTTCTGCGCCGTTCCTATAAGTTTGCTATTAAAATACATTAAACTATAAAAAAAAAAAGAAAAGAAAAGACAAACTACAGACTGGGCAAAATACTTGCAAACCACATATGAGAAAAAGAACTTGTATCTAAGATACATAAAGAACTCTCAAAACTCAACAGTAAAAAAAAACAAATAATCCAATTCGAAAATGGGCAAAAGACATAAATAGACATTTCACTGAAGAAAAGATATGGAAGCAAATATGCACATGAAAATATGTTCAACATCATTGGCCACTGGGAAAATGCAAATTAAAATCACAATGAGATATCACTATACACCTGTTAGAATGGCTAAAATAAAGGATGCAAAGAAACTGGATATCTCATACATTGCTGGTGCAAATGTAAAATGGTACTGCCACTCTGGAAAATAGTTTGGCAGTTTCTTATAAAATTTAACATGCACTTACCATATGACTTAGCAATTACATTCTTGGGTATTTATCTTAAGGAAATGAAAACTTATGTCATGCAAAAATCTGTACATGAATGTTCATAGGAGTTTTATTCGTAATAGCCCAAAACTGAAAACAACCCAAGTATCCTTAAGTGGGTGAATGGTTGAATTCTGGATATCAATACAGCAGAATATTACTCAGCAATAAAAAGAAGCAAACTACTGATACACACAAGTTGGATTGTTGGAATAATGCATCAAATGATGGAATGCTTGAAACAACTAAGCATTTAGCTTAGTGAAAAAAAGCCAGTCTCAAAAAAGGTTGCATACTGTATGATTTTTTTGTATATAACATCCTCAAAATGACAAAACTATACAGATAAAGAAGAGACTAGTGGTTGCCAGGGAAGGATGAAGGGGTGTGTGTGTGTGGAGGTGGGTGATTATATAGGGGTAGTACAAGGGAGTACCTGTGTGGTGATGGAACAGTTCTATATCATGGTGGTGACGATGGTGGTGGTGGTTACATGAATCTCTACCAGAGGTCAATTTGCACAGAACACACACACAAATGAGTGCATGTCAAAACTGGTGAGAACTGAATAAGGTCTGTCATCTAAATAACAGTATTGTGCCAAGGTCAATTCCCTGGTTTTGATACTGTATCACAGTTACTTAAGATGTCACCGTTAGGGGAAACTGGGTGACGCATTCAAGGGGCTCTGTACTATTTTTGCAACTCCCTGTGAATCTACAATCATTTCAAAATAAAGAGTTAAAAAGAAAACTAGCAGCAAAAAGGTTGAAAACAGCCTAAATGTCCATCAGTAGGGGACTTAGTTGAATTACGGTGTTGGCGAACAATGTTGAATATACCATGGACTGCCAGAAGAATGAACAAATTTGTCTTGGAAGAAGTACAGCCAGAATGCTCCTTAGAAGCAAGGATGGCGAGACTTTGTCTCATGTACTCTGGTCATGTTATCAAGAGGGACCAGTCCCTGAAGAAGGACATCATGTTTGATAAAGTAGACGGTCAGCAAAAAAGAGGACGACCCTTAATGAGATAGACTGGCACAGTGGCTGCAACAACGGGCTCAAGCATAACAACGCTTGTGAGGATGATGCAGGACCTGGCAGTGTTTCGTTCTGTTTTACACAGGATAGCTATGAGTCAGAACTGACTTGGTGGCACCCAACAATAACACAATAGTACATCCACACAATTTAGTAGTATGCAACCATAAAGAAAATAATAATAATAAGGAATATATCTATGAACGATGTAAATAAGTGAAAAAAGTAAGGTCCAGAGCTCTGAATAGAATGTGCTACTTACTGTGTAAGAAAGAAAGGGAAATAAGAAACTACCATAAACACATATTTGCCTATTTTTGCAATAAGAAAACCAGAAGGACAGACCAGAAGCTAATGAAAATGGTTATCTATAGGAGGTGAGTGGGAATGAGGTTAAGAGGACAGGGATGGAGCAAGACTTCTCTGCATATAACTTTATAGTGTTAAGTTTTTAATTATGTAAATTTTTATATAATAAAAATATTTAATTAAATAAAAAGAAAGGAAACCGGATTCAGGCTGTGAGGAGACCCCAGCGCCACTGGCTGGTCCTGCTCGCTGCCGGCCGCAGGGAGTGGGGCAGTGGAGCAAACATGAATGCTGGAGTTGCCCACAGCGAAATGAATCCAAATACCCGTATAATGAATAGCCATGGTATGTGGCTGACATATGCACTGGGAATTGGCTTGCTTCTTATTGTCTTACTCACATTCCCTTCTTCAGTGTTCTGTTGCTTGGACTTTAACAAATATTATACATAACCTGGGGATATATGTATTTTTGCATGCAGTGAAAAGAACACCTTTTGAAACTCCTGACCAGGATGAAGCAAGACTCCTAACTCACTGGGAACAGCTTGATTATGGAGTTAGAGTTTACATCTTCATGGAAGTTTTTCACAATTTCTTCAATAATTCTATATTTTCTGGCAAGTTTCTATGAGCCAACTCACTTCATCCTAAACACAGTTTCTCTCCTGAGTGTGTGTCTTGGTCATCCAGTGCTGCTACAACAGAAATACCACAAGTGGATGGCTTTAACAAAGAGAAATTCATTTCTTCACAGTAAACTAGACTAGAAGTCCAAATTCAGGGCGTCAGCTCCAGGAAAAGGCTTTCTCTCTCTGTCGGCCTTCTCATCAATGTTCCCCTGGACTAGGAGCTTCTCCGCACAGGGACCCCGGGTCCAAAGGACACGCTCTGCTCCTGGCACTCCTTTCTTGGTGGTATAAGGTCCGTCTGTCTTTCTGCTCACTTCTCTCTTTTATATCTCCAGAGATTGCCTCAGGACACAATCCAATCTTACAGACTGAGTCCTGCCTTACTAACACAACTGCCACCCATCCTCCCTCATTAACATCATAGAGGCAGGATTTACAACATATAGGAAAATCACACAATACCAGGGATCATGGCCCAGCCAAACTGATACACACATTTTTGGGGGGACATTATTCAATCCATGACAGTGTGCTAATTCCCAAAATGCCACAACTACATGGTGTTCAGATCTTTGGAATTAATAAGTATTGAAATGGTTTGAAACCGAACAAAAATTTTTACAGCTACTCAGTTTCCTGTAAGGAAGGAGTAGTTAGTATACTGCACTGTTTCTGTGATAATGTGAAATGAGAGGTATTTACATTGGAGGGCTAATTGCTGGTTCTTCATATGCTGCTCTGAAGTACAGATTTTTACTAGAAGATGCCTCTGTTTAATCCATCTGGTTTATTTCTAGAGAGAGGCTTTACAAGCAGTCTGGGCAGATCCAGCTCCTAAGTTAAATGGCTATACAGTGAGGGTGTAGTAGATAAACCCAAGGTAAAAACAGATCTGTAACAGACTAGCTTAGGTTATAATGAATGGGCATTATGTTAGGAGAAAATTTCTAATCATTCAGTCATGGTCACTTTAGGCAGACTTACACGTAAACCATAATCATCTCTTTAAAAGTTTATTTTGTTTTATTATTTATTTATTTTATACAAGCTGATTTCTACCTTATTTTATGAGTATATTTGTAGGTTTTTTGGCTCAAAATTTTGTGTTGATAGACGAGGCCATTTTTCCATTTATTAAGTTACTGAGCTCATGACGGTCCACCTTCATGACTGATTGGTGATAGAAGATAGCCAGGCATCTTACAAACAGCGTCTGAGTCAGACTTCTAATTTTAGAACAAACTAAGTTTTGCTGCTTTGCTAGGCACGAGGCTGCTAAACCAATTAAGAAAATAATTTATTTCAAGCAGTTAAAGTATATAGTAATTTAAAGTTCTCTGCTTATTTGGTTGAGCAACTTAATTGTTAAAGTCTGCCATTCTTTAAAAAAGAAAATACAGCATGGACAGCTATATAGCCAACCTGTGGTCTGGCAAAAAGAGCTTCTCTAGCATTAGTACCAAAGTAAGCAATGGAGCCTTTACAGCTGGTCTGCAGTAAAAGATAACATCATTTTTTCTTAGCCTCCCTACTTTCAACCCCCATACTTTGCCCATTAATATTTTTGCCTTTCAATAACATGGATTTTAGTATAGATAACCCCAAATGGTAATTATTTTCAAAGCAGCAACCCTATTGAAATTCTTGTGACTTGGGCAAGCTTCCTATAGTTGCCGACTTTAATCACAAGCAATAACTATATACTACTTTGAGAAGTGAACACGTCAAAAAAAAAAAGAAAGCTCTGTTATGGGATGAAACCGAAAAACTCAGTAATATTTGTAAACAAAATTGAGTGAAAAGAGTTCTGGAACAACTTAAAAATCAATTTGGTTCAACAAAATGACTTTTGAGGGATAATTATCATTGTTTTGTTTTGTATTTCAGAAGTACTGAGTTTAGAAATCAGTTGTATGATACTGCCTTTGTATGTTTGTCTTTACCCATGTATTTTTAGATGACTGATATTCTATACTTTAATAAAAATTTCCTTGGTGTAAGATTAAAAAAGAAGAAGAAGAAAGGAAATCCTAAATTTTAACACAAACAGAAATAAACAAATTGTA